TTTGGGCTGCATTTGGTGTCTGGCCCAAGATGGGTGAGGAGCTGGGGGAGGGCATGTTTGGTTCGGAGTTTGGGCCGCTGATTCACTTGTAGATGACTTCTTGGCCCATGTCCTGTCCCGGTTAGTTGGGTCAGATTTTCGCTTGGCGGACTTAGTGGTCGAGTCGTCCGTCTTCTTCTATCCAATTTCATACTTGTTCTTCCTGGTGGTTTACGGACGGAATCCTATGGAGAAAATATATGGTTGGTCTATATTAGGACTAGTAGAAGATGTACCTGAATTATTAGGTTGTGGATCTGCTTCGTCCTCCTCCATCGTAGTCAAAGCAGCGAAGGGGTTCTTTTGCGGGCAATATTCTCCTTGTGTTTTGCCCTGATTATTACGCCGGCTAGTGTTTGTTGGTTGAGCATTGTTAGAGGATCTCCGGCCCCGTTTCAGTGCACAACTCCACTCTTCTAAATTAGGAGAGATTCTGTGTTGCATCGGGATACGGGCTGCCTTCTCCCAATTCTGGTCTGCTGCTGGGGTTAGGTTGGGCCCACAGTGGTGATGTCTCCCCAGTTACCATTGTAGCTGGGGGGACCGTATCCGCTGAATTGGCATCCGATGGTGGCGAACCAGATCTGGATTTCGGTTGGTCAGAAGAGCAATCGGGACATTCGTCAATTACATGGCCATATTTCCCACAATTAAAGCATATTCTTCTCAAATCCTCGTATTCGACAGTATATGCTTTACCATCGACCCTTACCTTGCCTATAAGGGGTCTTGTTAAATCCAATTCCACGGCAATTCTGGCATACCTTCCTCTCTTGGCCAATAGAGTGTTTTTATATACCTTTAAATATCTCCCCAGAGGACGAGCAATGTCACGAAGGAGGTCGTTATGGAAATAGTGAATCAGAAGTCCTGGGATTCTCACCCAGGCCGCCACGGCTGATATGTTCTCTACTTTGGTGTCGAAATCGATCTTCCAAGGGAGGACTGTAATGTAGTGATCCACAATGGACCAAGGACCATTTAGCAAAGCATTGTAATAATCCTCCTTGTGGGTTAAGCTGATGATATGATACCCGTCCACAGAATCAACTAGGTCGATGTCACCTTTGGGACTCCATAGGCTTATCACACGCTTGCGTATTGCTAGGAAGCTGAAATTTCTACCCAGAGGCCGGATTACAATGGAATAGGCCATTGCTTTCTCCATCATTCATTTAATCCGATCAGCAAGTTTATGGCCGGCATGCCTTCTTGAACAGAGTAAGTCACATCTCCAGGCTCTGTTTTGACTTCCTCAAGGTGGAAGCCTGATGACTGTGGAGAAGATTGTCCCTTTAATAGAGAATCCTTGAAGGATTTGGGTTCTGAGTTTACAGACGGATTATCCCGTGAGACAAAAGATTCTTCAGATGGTGCATCTCCTTGTACCTCCCGATTTCTTACTTTCTTAGTTGCTGAGTTATCATTGTCATGGTCCATTGGGACTGGCTCCTCCGCCTCCATGGGAGACAGAGGAAGGTGGAGACGGCTAGGTGCTAACGGCTAGGAGGGAAAGTGCAGAAAGCAGTTTTTTTCAAAAAAAATGAGTTAGGAGCTCTTTTTCTCATTTAGCTCTTGGGCTAACTGAACGTTGAAATCGGTCATGGATGGAATTAAGGATTCAACGTATATGGCCGAAAGGTGGTCCTCTGTAAGCCGATCTTCTTCTTCTTTTTTTAGACATATTATTACAATTTACAATAACATACCTTTACCCAAAAAAGAAAAAAAAAATGCTTACGCAACACGAGGTACCCTTCAAAAAAAATTACACGAGGTGATGACAAGTACGCTACTTTTTGCAATTGACATAACTCAAAAAAAGAAAAAAGGAAAAGTTGAAAAATGAAAATTTAATACATGATGATTTTTTTAAAATTTTTTTTAATTCTTGTGATAGGGTATTTCCTTATTCACATATGTGGTTGGAAATACATGATGTGATCCATAATTATTTTCTACGATAGACGTCGTATTAATTAATATCATAACTTTAATTCCATCCATAATCAGTGAAATTCCTCAATTCAAGGTTCTTTATTTATTTTTATTTTTTATTGAAGAATTTTATGGTTTATACTACTACATAAATTTTTTTCTTATAATTTATTGAAGAATTTTTATATAATCAGAGGAAAAATTTTTTTCCATGAGATCTATTTTTAAAATTGTCTTTGGCTATCCTATGCGAATATTGTAGCAATATGTGTCCTCCGAGATGATTATAAAATTTCCCCCGCAGTCAAATGCCACATTTGTCACCTTATTCCCGTCAGAATCAGCTTTGCTTTTTTAATTCTCCCAGCTTCGCTAACGAAACTTGGATTTACACGGTGTCTTAGGATGGGCGGCGATGATGATCTAAGCGGTGGCGGACGACCTAAAACCTGCAAGTCAGAGCCTCGGGTGTCTCCCGAAGGTAGACTCTCTGATACTTAAGTCAATAAGGGAATAAAGAGAATAGAGAAAGAAGGATGTGTATCGTGTGTAGAAAGTGTAGAAGATAGGTAGAAGATATGTATTATGGGAGAGGCACATAAAGAGGTGGTATTACCTGTTTCCTGAAACCCTAGCGGAATAGATTTAGACGGTGGCTTAATCTTCAAGTAATTTAATCATAAGCCTAATAAGTCTAGGATTAATTTATGACTCGTCATTCGCGGTGATATAAAAAAATTACTCTTAAATTTTAGATACGAATTTCAAGTTCTGGCTTTCAAAAGTTGACGAACTCCTATTGAATTTCTGCATTATTCTGGGAAGTTATGATGTATCTAATTGAACTGCATTTTTGGTCTTCAAAACAACGGAATTTGAGTCCTTTTTTTTCCCCCTCTTCATGACAGTCTTAATCTTCAAAAGAATTTATGGTTGATGGCATTTAGCCTTTCATAAATCAGCCACATTGCACAAAGATTTCAATTCTAATTCGTTCCTAAGTCAGTTACAATATATTTAAGATCTACACCATTCAGCAAATACATCGTTGCGATAATTCTAAACAATATTTTATGTTCTTATAACTCCATTAAAAGAAGCCCTTTATTTCTAGGGTTGGGGGGTTGGAGGGAAGAAGTAAGATCAAAATTGGAATTGAAATATTTATTTCTAATTTCCATACGCGGATACGCCCATTAGACAAAATTAAAAGTTGGGACGATAAAAATCAATAAGGAAACAGCCAAATGTTAAACAAGTACTGGCTGTACTGCTAGTCCAGCTCTCCCAAAACATTTTACGTGAAGCCCTTAGTTCAAAAATTTTGATCTGATTGGGGCAAATATCTATCTACCACATTCTTAGTTGCTTCGCTAGTTATATAAAATTTTTACTCTCTTCGTCTTAAAATATTAATATTCAATCAACAAATAAAAATTTATTTCTTACACAGAAAGATTCATTTTCGTTTTTATTTTCTTTTCAAAAATACTCACACAATAAAAATGTGGGGGTGGAAAAGAGACTACACAATTTGCCGACACCAATAAAAATATTTTTTTAAAAATAAAATAAAATAAAGGGACATGGTTCTTATTATTACATACCTATCAAGTTCCCATGATTAATAATTAAAAAAAAAAAGAAATCACACCAAATCACTCAAATTAAGGAAATGTAATATTACCTTCTCAAAAGAAAACAAAGAAGAGTAATATTTGATTCCCCTAATTGTTTTCACCCCTTCGATTGAGGAGGATGGTGTGGCCAATCGAAGAAACATGGAAAATAGTATCATCCCTTTCTTAATTTGATTTTTCTGCCATAAATTCCATCCTCAAAATTAGGGAATTTCCGTGGCTGAATTGAACAAAAAAGAGAAAGAAAGAAGAAAAAGGGAAAAGAAAATAGAGCTCTCCCTTATTAATGCACCAATATGATCGAGTACTCAATTTTATATACATTTGGGGAACTCTATTGAGAGGAAGAAGTTGTGAGTTCCTCTTGCTTGTTACACCCAAAGAGTGTCTTTTAGATTCATATTGTCCAATTTATTCATATATTTCCAAAGCGGGTCGAAAGGATTTCACATCAATACTCACCTCTTGAAGTGTTATTGAAAAGGTATGCAAACTGCAAAATTGTTTCGATTCCTTATTATGCTTTCTTTTCTTCGGTTTTGCTACGACTTATGTACTATTATTTGTGCGGAAATTTATCATCTCACCACAGTTGTGTTTCAGAAAAGAGTATGCGGAAAGTACTAAAACATGAGATTGAAGGAAATTAGTATACATATGACATAAATTATGCATGAAAAACATCATAGACTAAACAATTGGCTGTAGTTTGTTATACATATTGTAGATTGATTAAGAATTGTGGACATATATGTTATAGAATGATTGACAACCCGAGCCAATGTTTAGATTGTGAAATTATTTAGTTGATGAATGGTATCAAACATTTACTTATTGATTTTCTATAGATCAAATTAGAGCTTCTGAAACCTTGATTATGATTGTATACTGAAACGAGATGTAGTAAAAAAGAAAAAAAAAAGGCGAATACCATTTTATTCGGTTACAAGGGATTAAGGGTCTTTACCATATGCTGCTCCTACTATAATACGGTGTCACCACAATTTAACATCCGAAGATAAATATACAATCCGCTCAACACCATTAGAGCTAGACAAAAACTGTGATGCTACTAGGTCTACTGTTGTTCCTTCGGACCAAAATATGATTTTATAGTTTTACCACTTTTTTTTTTAAAAAAAGAAAAGAACGATTCGTAGTGTTAGTTATTGTCTCTGTCCGAAAATATAATTTTATATTGGAACAAAAAGAGTAACAAGTAACTTCCATTGTTTATAGTTATCGAAACTTTATTTATTTTTATTTTTTTGGTTAACAACGTTTGTTCTTTTTATTAGTATACTAGTAAAACTTGGGTCTTTGTTAATGGATTAAAATAGAATTTGATTATCTACATTTTTTCAATATATAGTGGTCGTCATCATGGGTCGTGCAAAATTGGAAATGCAACTGATTGCTAAAGAGAAACAACGCGTTACAACATTCAAGAAGAGAAAAGATGGATTGATAAGAAAAATCCACGAACTCACGACCCTGTGTGACGTGAATGGCTGCATGATCATCCGTCCTCCGAACCAAGACAACCTCTCACCGGAGATCGAAACATGGCCGGAAAATCCCGACTTCGTGTCGGGAATCATCGAGAAATACAGAGCCAATCCCGATGTCGGCGGCAGCCGGACGTACACGCTGACGGATTTCTACCAGTGCCGGAGCAAGAAGGTGGTGGAAGAGCTCGAGAAGAAGCGCAAGAAACGCCGGGAAATGGTATACCCGACGCGGGCGATTAACTCGGTGAGCGGTCTCCGGGAGACCCAATTGAGAGAACTTGCTACTAAATTAGACAACAAGCTGGATTTTGTCAAATGCAAAATTGATTCCATGAAAGGATCATCATCTTCAGCAACAGCTTCAAGTATTCTTCATCATCACCATCATCATCATTTCTTTCCTCAAAACAGGGGAATTGTGTTTGATGGGCCACATATCCTTCCACAGCAACATCATCAGATGAGGATCAGCAATTTCAACAACAATAACAACATGAGCAGCACCAGATTGCTTCTTCCAGGAGCTTCAATTCAAAGAAATCTGGAACCATGGGATGTTTCAAACAGGATTCACGTCCCAGCTCTGCTTCAAGAAACTCCTCATCAGCAACATCAGATTCATCACCCTGAGTTGAATAATTCCAGTTCAATGGTGAAGCTGCTAATGGGTGGTGATCAGGATGATTATATTCATGGTGGTAACCATAATAATCCCTCAAATTTTGCTATTCAATTCCCATCATTCAAGCACGAGATTCAACACGAATCCTCCCCTGTTTCCTCGCTCGATAGTGCTGCAGGGCAGTTGTTTGCTTATTCGACAATGCCGCCTTTGCCTCCGTTCCATGGTCAGAATTTCCATCAACAAACAATGGGGACATTCATGCCGATTCAGTATCCAGCTAATGTGAGTGATATTCATCAAGTTCATGGTCATAACAGTTCTGAAAATTCAAGGGAGAAAGAGCTCAATGACTTCTTTCATTGCTCCTTCAAGGATCACAGAGAAAGGCGCTAACTGATCATATAGAAGCAGTAGTCAGTAATCAAATCAATCCACTATCTCAGTGAATTTTAATTCTGTTTTTCTTTTCCAGATCTAGCTTGCTTGTTGAGTTTAATCTTTTATTAGATGTTTCAGTACAATGAATTTGTCTTTGGTTACTTAATTTGGAATCAATTGCTGCCCTGACTTGGTATCAGATTCTGAAAGTTTGTTTTGAATAGTGCTACACTGCTGCTAATTCTCCTTTCGTTTGAGTTGCTTCATTTCCATCAGGGGCTCTTCTTGAAAGAGTAAGAGAATGAGATGGTTGTGAATGTTGTGTTCTGTATTCATATCAATCGTTTATATAAAAGTGTACATAAGAGATTAAGCTATACATTTGTTGTTATCAGGTAAAACATATCTATAACTTGTATACTAATCACATACAACTTCCTTAGTTCCTATACTTATCGTATAGTCTATCATCCCCCGCAATCGAAGCAGAATTATGAATCATGCAAAGATTGGAACGTAATTCCGTAAACTCTTTGGAATAGATTTAGTGAGAAGATCAGCACGTTGAGCTTGAGTTGGAACATGTTCAACTGTTAGTCGACCAGCAGCAATTTTCTCCCGAACAAAATGCACATCCAGTTCCATGTGCTTCGTCCTTGCATGATTAATGGGGTTTGCAGCCAAGTATGTGACAGAGATATTATCACAAAGGATTACAGGCCGTCAAGGAAGTACAATGAAAAGTTCAGACAGTAGATGCTCTAGCCAAAGGGTTTCAGCCAATGCAGTGGCCACCACCCGATATTTAGATTCAGCTGAGGATCTAGACACCTTTGCCTGCTTCTTTGATGACCAAGACACAAGTGAAGCTCCAAGGAAGACACAAAAACCTGTTGTAGATCGTCGGGTAAGAAGACACCCTGCCCAATCCGCGTCGGAGTAGGTGACAAGACGATCAAGCGCAGCAGCCTTAATGTGAAGACCATAATGTAGTGTACCTTTATACGTTTAACGGCTTGAAAGTGTTGTTCATGCGGAGCATGCATATATTGACAAACAAGATTCACAGTAGGCCTGTTCATTCGGGTCAAATTAACGGGTTTCGGGTCAATGAAATCGGTTATTCGGGTCCTCGGGTGGAATACGGGTTAACCCGAAATTAAGCACAATTTCATCTGACTAATATGGGTCCTAAAAAAATTAAAACATGAGATGGAGAGTGAGCCTAGAAAAATTAAATCAAAATAAAACACAAAGGGCAACAACTATTTTAGTAAGGGTTTCAAAAATGATTCCCAAATTTTAGAGCATCTTTTATCATGATTTTTTCAGGCAAAATAAAAATCAAACAAAGCCCATCATAAACAATGTCAAACTCCATCAAAAGGCAAGATAAGATAAAAGATACCTATGACCAGAATGAGAAAAGCATAACGGATGGAGAGCATACCTGTATTTTTGAAGAGTCTTTTAGCTTTAATGTGACTTTGACGGTGGAAAAAACAACGGAAATGGAGGTAGCTGACGTACTAGCAGAGTCGGTGGCACTAGCTTGAAGCGAAGAAGTGAGTGCGAGACTTTAGAGGCAGATCTCGCTAGATCTAAAAAAGAAAGGACGACGGATCGACAGAAATGCCGTCCGACGAAGCTCCGGCGTTTAGCTCTCTTCATTCTAATGGAAAAATGACGCCGTCGTCCATAAGGGGAAGTGGATCGGATAACCGGCTTCTAGCTGGTTACTTGGCTCACGAGTTTCTGATAAAAGAGACGCTGTTCGGAGAACAATTTGAGCCGGTTCGAGTAAATTCGGCTGTACGGCTTCCGTCAGCTGGTAAGCCGCCGGTGAGGAGGAGGTCAGAGGGCAGTGGCAGCCGGAGTTTTGAAATGGAAGACGAGATAGATAAAGGGTCGGCGAAGAAGATGGATAGTCGGAGTTATTGATGAGAATTTACAAACCTACATTCCCATCATTGAAGAAAATAGCACACCTTCGAGTTCAAAGCCTTTTACAAGATCACAAGCTAGGAAGCTCAAGGCAAACGTGGCAACACTCCTCAACCTCACAATGCACCATGAAGAAGCAAAGATGGAGGCAACACCTCAATGGGTCAATTTCCTCCGTTTCTGCCCAAGAAGAAGTTAACCAATTTTGAGCAGATTTAGGCCAATTCATATCACTCCTTTTTGGCCATCTTTTTCAACCATCTTTAAGGTATTTTGGAGCCTTACAATCTGGTCTAAATTCATTAAAATTTCGGCCAAACCCTCAACAATAAAAGGTGGCCAGATTTGAAGGGTAAAAGCAAGTCATGGTGTAATCCAAGTGGAGCCACTTTTGTTGACAACTCATGGTCCAACTTTGCAGCCATCTTTGACCATGTTTTGAAGACTTAAAGGTGAAGAAATCCTAGGTAAATGATAGCTGCACCAGCTGCCCTAGTCAACTACAAAACAAGGAACCATCTTAGCATTACTTTTTATATTTTATTAAGCAAGTTGTCTAGTTCTTTTGTCCTTTAAACTCGAAAAAGAAACAACCATTTTGGGTAGTTTTTGAAGTCATTGTTCATGTATGAATCCTTGAGAGGAAGACCCTTTCAGAATTCCAAGCTTCTTCAAGTTTGGTAGCATAGCACTGCTTGTAGCTTGTTATGTAGTAAGTGTGCAATTTAGTTTATGATTTAACTAGATTGTGGAGCTTTTTGTGAATTGTTGAAATGGTTAAATTTTTCATGCCTTAGTTTGTTCAAATCTGATTCTCATCTAGTGTTTGAAAGGGTTAAGGTACCATTTAGGCATTCATATCATAAATTATTCTACCCCATTTCTATCCTTTCCACCCGAATCCATCTTTGTGTTCCTTTGAATACACTTTGAATTCTCTTCATATCCAAGACCTTTTGATTTTGGATCATATCAAACTGATCTTGTTGTGTAAATTTGTATGGTAAAGTCCGGGACAACCTCTAAATAAATTTGCTTCCAATTGTGCGCATGAAATCTGCATCATTTGGTAGAAATCTACATCAATTTGGCACCAGAGCTCTTGGTTCATTTACCTACAAAATAATTGACCTACTTGCTGTTCTTCATGTTCTAAATATTCAAGTTTGAATAACCTACTAAGTTGCAAGTTGTTCTTAGCTCAATTCAGCTTCATAAAAAAAAAAAAAAACAGATTTGGGAAGTTTTTGAGCTATACAATCGATAGTATCCATTGCACAATCGTTGTACAACCTTTCTGTCCAAGTCATTTTCTTTTTCATTTCCTTTCTTTTCCTTTGTTTCCCTTTCATCTTTTATTGTCAAGTTAAGGTATGTTAAATTCATTTTAGCTATTCTAATTGTTGCACATGATTGTTAAATTATATCTCTAATTTGTGCGCAATTAAATCTATAAACATTCTACTAGCTAGTTACCAATTTTGATTGCACAAGAAGTTGGAACCTGAAAGTTGAGAAAAAGAGAGGTTTTACCATCAATCCTCACTAAATATCTAGACCTTCCGAATGATCATGGGTGAGTGAATTGGGAAGGGGAACTGAAATTGGGGGTGAGTTTAGCTTCTTAAATCTTTTTCTTTCTTTATTTTTCGGATACTACTTGTTCTTGTGTTTTTGTTGATCTTTAGTGAAGATGCCTCCTAAACCAACCAGTGGAAGGAATCAACAAGTAGAGGAGCCCGAAGCTGCCTCTAGCAATCCAGCCATGGATGATATACAAAGAACCTTGAACCAACTTGTTGGTAGCATGAGAGAGTTGTTTGATGCAAATAGAGAAATTAGAGAGGAGATGCACACTTTGAAGGAAGAAGTGCAAGTAAATAGACCCCGAGGAGGAAGAGATCATCAAGCCATTTTAGAGGAGGAAGATGAAGAAGAACTTGAACCACCTAGAAGGAAGAATCAAGATAGAAGGCGAGAAACCGAAGATGGCAAGATAAAACACCAACTTCCGGAGTTTCTTGGCAAGGCTGATCCGGATCTCTATTTGGAGTGGGAAACCAATGTATACAAGGTGTTTTCTTTGCACAATTATTCGGAGCAATACAAGGTTGGAGCTGCCATTGCAGAGTTTAGACAAAATGCTAACACTTGGTGGCTAGATGTGATGAGAAGAAGGCGTAGAGATGGTGAAGGAGAAGTCACAACTTGGCGGGAGCTAAAGCGTTTGATGAGAGCTACTTATGTCCCAAAAACCTACCAAAAGAAGCTAAGAAGTGAACTCCAAGACTTAAGGCAAGGTACTCGTTCTTGTATAGAATTTTATTATGAACTAATTGCCTTACGTTCTAAGCTTCAGATTGATGAAAGTGATGATGCAATGGAGGCACGGTTTATAAGGGGTTTAAATAGGAATATTAGAGACCAAGTGGAGAATGAAGCAATGAAGTGCAATTCATTAGAAGAAGTTGTTGCTTTTGCTGATTTGATTGAGAAACACTTGAAGGAGAAAGAGAGCCGTTCTAGGTTCACTCCGGGAGGCTCAACCAGCAAACCAACACCACCAAAGAAGCTAATGCCGAGTTCTTCCACCAGTCAACCCAAGATAGTTGTCAAGCCAACCGTGAATAACCTACCAAAGAAGGTGATCACTCCACCTCAAGGACAAGAAAGAAGAGTTTAGTGTTTCAAATGTAAAGGGTGGGGACATTATGCTAAAGATTGTGTGAATCAAAGGGTGATGCATATTACTGAAGATGGAGAGATTTTTAGCGAAGATGAGGAATCTGCCTTAGAAGCCGAAAGGGAGCAATCTTCATTACCATTTATTGAGACCGAAGATGTTACATTTTCAAGCGATGAAGAAGGTGATTTTTCTGATCCTAAATCTCTTGTTTTTATGCGTACTTTGAGCTCACATGATAGGATCATTGGGAAGAACCATGAGGAGCAACGAACCAACTTGTTCCATATGAAGTGTAAAGTGTTGGGGAAGACTTGTTTAGTCATTGTAGATGGTGAGAGTTGTACCAATGCTGTTAGTGAAGAGTTTGTCAAGAAAGTTGCTTTAACTACAACCAAGCACCCGAGACCTTATAGATTGCAATGGATTGGTGACAATGGAGAAGTTCGGGTGAAACTTCAAACCAAGGTACCTTTAAAAATTGGTCCATACCAAGATGAGGTAATTTGTGATGTTGTACCAATGAATGCTTGTCATGTTTTATTGGGAAGACCTTGGGAGTTTGATAGGAAAGCAATGCATGATGGTTACACTAACTCCTACACACTTTGTATTAATGGTTCTAAGTTTGTTGTACCCCCTTTGAGCCCAAAAGCTATTCATGAAGCACATGTTCATATTGCAGCCAAAAGAGGGCAAGAGAAAAGGCATGAAGGTGAGTTGAAAAAGCCAATAGAGTGTGGTGAGAATGAGAGAAAAACCGAGAGACAAAAGCCACAAACTAGTGAGAAAAGAGGCAGTTTGTTACTCGCCACAAAGAGTGATATTGAGGAGGTATTGGAAGGCCAACCACCCCTCATTCTTTTGATGTTATTTGGTGATTGCTTAACTAACACTAACAATGACAATGTGCCTAGTGTTGTTAAGTCTGTTTTGCAGGAATTTGAAGATGTGTTTCCGGAAGAACTACCCCACGGATTACCACCTATCCGAGGCATTGAACACCAAATTGACTTTATTCTGGGAGCTTCAATTCCTAATAGGCCAGCCTACAAAGCCAACCCTATTGAGACAAAGGAACTTCAAAGGCAAGTTGATGAACTCCTTGCCAAAGGTTTGATTCGTGAGTCTATGTCTCCTTGTGCAGTACCCGTGATACTTGTCCCTAAAAAGGATGGTACATGGCGAATGTGTGTTGATTGTAGGGCTGTGAACAAGATCACTATCAAGTATAGGCATCTTATACCTAGACTTGATGACATGCTAGAAGATTTGTGTGGTGCTTGTGTATTTTCTAAGATTGATTTGGCATCCGGTTACCACCAAATTAGATTGAAACTGGGTGATGAATGGAAAACAGCCTTCAAAACCAAATTTGGGTTATATGAGTGGCTTGTTATGCCATTTGGTTTGACCAATGCACCTTCTACATTTATGCGTTTAATGAATCATGTACTTAGAGCTTTCATTGGCAAGTTTGTTATTGTCTATTTTGATGATATTCTGATTTTTAGTCGAAATGAAGATGAGCATGTCTATCATTTATCTTGTATATTTTCGACTTTGAGAGATCAAAAACTTTATGCTAAGCTTTCTAAGTGTACATTTTGTGTGGAAGAGGTTGTTTTTTTAGGCTTCATTGTAGGGAAAGATGGAGTTAAGGTTGATGAAGAGAAAGTGAAGGCTATCCGAGAATGGCCAACCCCTACAAATGTGACGGAAGTCCGATCTTGCCATGGGCTTGCAAGCTTCTACCGTCGGTTTGTAAGTCATTTTTCTAGCATTGCTGCACCCCTGAATGTATTGACCAAGAAAAATGTGAAATTTCATTGGGGTGAAAAACAACAAGAAGCATTTGACACATTGAAAACAACAAGAAGCATTTGACACATTGAAGCATATTCTTACAAATGCACCCGTGCTTGCATTACCTAATTTTGATCTTACATTTGAACTTGAATGTGATGCTAGTGGTGTAGGAATTGGTAGTGTCTTAATGCAAAACAATAGACCTATAGCATATTTTTCTGAAAGATTCAATTCTGCCCAAATAAATTATCCTACTTATGATAAAGAATTGTATGCTATCATTCGGTCTTTAGAACATTGGCAGCACTTCCTTCTTCCAAAGGAGTTTGTGATACATACGGATCATGAATCTATCAAGTACCTTAACGGGCAGCAAAAGTTGGACAAAAGACATGCCAAGTGGAGTACTTTCTTAGAAACATTTCCCTATGTTATCAAGTACAAGAAAGGTAAGGAAAATGTTGTTGCTGATGCACTCTCCCGAAGAAACCAAATCCTTGCTATTGTTGAAAGTAAGTTCTTCGGCTATTACTACTTGAAGGACTTGTATGAAAATGATCTTGATTTTGCTGAAATTTTCAAGAGTTGTAAACATGGAGCTTTTCAAAAGTTCTATTTGCATGAGGGTCTTTTATTTAAAGAAAATAGATTGTGTGTTCCTAAATGCTCATTGCGTGATACTCTTGTGCATGAATCTCATTGTGGTAGTCTTATGGGACACTTTGGTGTTTTAAAGACTTTGAACATGTTGTGTGAACATTTTTATTGGCCACGAATGAGAAAGGATGTTGAAAAATTCTGTTTGGCTTGTATTGAGTGTAGACAAGCTAAATCTAAGTCTAATAATTTTGGTTTATACACTCCATTACCCGCACCTTTACACCCGTAGATTGACATTTCTATGGATTTTGTGTTAGGGCTACCTACTTCCAAGCGAGGTAATGATAGCATTTTTGTAGTTGTTGATCGTTTTTCAAAGATGGCTCACTTTATTCCTTGCAAGAAAACTAATGATGCTAGGTACATTGCGGATCTATTCTTCAAGGAAGTGGTAAGATTGCATGGCATCCCGAAGATTATTGTAAGCGATCGAGATGTTAAGTTTTTGAGCTATTTTTGGAAGTCATTGTGGATTAAACTTGGTACACAATTGTTGTTTTCTACTACTGCACATCCACAAACTGACGGTTAAATTGAAGTTGTGAACAGGACTCTAGGTTCGCTACTTAGAGCATTGATTCGAGGGCACAAGAAGACTTGGGAGAAATGCCTTCCAATTGCTAAGTTTGCTTACAACCGTACAACACAACGCACAATTGAAATGTCACCATTTGAATGTGTTTATGGTTTTAATCCCTTAACCCCTTTAGACTTATCTTCCGTTTCTTTACCCAATTCGCAGGTACTTGAAATGGATGGAGCTAAACGTGCCAAGTACATTCAGAATCTTCATTCCAAGGTGCACGACATGATAGTATAGAAAAATGAGCATTATGCCTGTAATGCCAACGAGCACCGCAAGGAAAAGGTTTTTCAACCAGGAGACTATGTTTGGGTTAACTTTAGGAAAATCAGATTTCCTACAAAAGTGAAGGGCAAACTTGATGCTCGTGGAGATGGACTATTCAAAGTTCTTCAACAACTGAATAACAATTCTTATGTTATTGATCTATCAGGTGAGTATAATGTTAGTTCCACTTTCAATGTTTCTGATTTGAGTGCCTTTGAATATGTAGATGACAATGAGGAGGAGGAACCAACGGATTCTTCTACTAAGAATCCTTTTCAAGAGGGAGGGGATGATGAGAATTTACAAACCTACATTCCCATCATTGAAGAAAATAGCACACCTTCGAGTTCAAAGCCTTTTACAAGATCACAAGCTAGGAAGCTCAAGGCAAATGTGGCAACACTCCTCAACCTCACAATGCACCATGAAGAAGCAAAGATGGAGGCAACACATCAATGGGTCAATTTCCTCCATTTCTGTCCAAGAAGAAGTTAACCAATTTTGAGCAGATTTAGGCCAATTCATATCACTCCTTTTTGGCCATCTTTTTCAACCATCTTTAAGGTATTTTGGAGCCTTACAATCTGGTCTAAATTCATTAAAATTTTGGCCAAACCCTCAACAATAAAAGGTGGCCAGATTTGAAGGGTAAAAGCAAGTCATGGTGTAATCCAAGTGGAGCCACTTTTGTTGACAACTCATGGTCTAACTTTGCAGCCATCTTTGACCATGTTTTGAAGACTTAAAGGTGAAGAAATCCTAGGTAAATGATAGCTGCACCAGCTGCCCTAGTCAACTACAAAACAAGGAACCATCTTAGCATTACTTTTTATATTTTATTAAGCAAGTTGTCTAGTTCTTTTGTCCTTTAAACTCGAAAAAGAAACAACCATTTTGGGCAGTTTTTGAAGTCATTGTTCATGTATGAACCCTGGAGAGGAAGACCCTTTCAGAATTCCAAACTTCTTCAAGTTTGGTAGCATAGCACGGCTTGTAGCTTGTTATGTAGTAAGTGTGCAATTTAGTTTATGATTTAACTAGATTGTGGAGCTTTTTGTGAATTGTTGAAATGGTTAAATTTTTCATGCCTTAGTTTGTTCAAATCTGATTCTCATCTAGTGTTTGAAAGGGTTAAGGTACCATTTAGGCATTCATATCATAAATTATTCTACCCCATTTCTATCCTTTCCACCCGAATCCATCTTTGTGTTCCTTTGAATACACTTTGAATTCTCTTCATATCCAAGACCTTTTGATTTTGGATCATATCAAACTGATCTTGTTGTATAAATTTGTATGGTAAAGTCCGGGACAACCTCTAAATAAATTTGCTTCCAATTGTGCGCATGAAATCTGCATCATTTGGTAGAAATCTACATCAGTTATGCTGAGGTGGCGACCTTGTTCCAGATCTCGATCGCCCACAAAGAAATTAGATATGATGTTGATCGAAGAAGAGGGTCTAAGGAAGGTTGCCGGTGATTGACTTTGGAGGTTAAGGATGAGATCTGGAGAGATGAATGAGATTGGGGTGTCCGAATAGTGAAAACGGGAATATGGAATTGACTTATCAGGTGTCGTTGATAACTATGGATATCCACTTCGGGTGTCCTTAGGATATTTAATTCATTTCAGTTTGTCAAATTCTAACCAAAACAATCAACTTCATTTAACCGAATAT